CCCAAAATGACCCTAGACCTTGTAGGGAACTGTTCCTTATATTTCTTGAATCTTTGACGTTTTAAGGCAGTCAAAATGTGCTAATACTAAACTTTTTTTTAAACTTATTTCTCATCACTTTTTTGACAGTACCAAAATGCACTTACTTACTGTACATACTGTACATACTAATCTTAGGATTGTACCATATTGTTCCAACTGCTCATATTTTCACAGATCAAAACCTAACCATGAACCAATAGAATCAACCAAAGTCTATTTATGGTCCGTCCCAGCGACAAAGAGACGACACCAAATGAGTTTTACCGTTTTACTTCTTTCATGTAATTGTGTGGATACTATATCAGACGTTTTCTTTTCTTTTTCTGGCGTGCCTGTGAAGTACGTTGGGTCGATGGTGTGGTAATAAACATTTTAGACGTTGACAAAGAGGACGTCCTGCTTCTCCACAGACAGGTCCCAATCACATCATATCTTTTCCCCGCCGCTCGACAATCACCGGTCGCACACTTTCGGCTTCTTTCCCTCCGACATCCGTTCAAAATATTTATTGAGAGATGGGTCGGAGTGTCAAATTAGATGGATGCCATTGGTGGAAGACGGGGCTGGGCTGATGTAATTGCTCGGCGGCGCTGGCGGGATGTGTTGTGACACGGAGAGCATTATCTGTCAAAAGATGATGCGTTTTCTCTTGTGTGACAGCTCCTCATGTTGTTGGCATCTCGCACAATGTGTCACGGAGTCAGACAAATCACATGTTTGCCACCTCGACACCCGGCGGTCTGTTCTGCCAGCGCCCGCCATCAGAGTGAGCGTGAGGCGAGGATAGAGCAGAGCGGAGCTAGAGGGACCGGAGCAGGACGGGGAGAGAGTCAGGATATGGAAATGTGGGCAGCGACAAGACTTCAGACGTTTGATAATAATAACATTTATAATATATATATAATAATACATTGACCTTATATGGAATCCCATTTAGAAAGATTTCATTTGGACAATCTGCCTCCTCAGTACGAGCAGCGCGGACAGAACTGAGGAACCTGACCTTTAAAATCTCTGTAAAGAAGTGGCTTGTGGACAATCAGAGACATGTGAACGCAACATGGTTCAAAGTCACAACCGCTGATATCTTGTTGTGTGGAAAATTGGGGTTTTTTGTTTATTGTCCCTCTGATCTGTGCTAATTCACTAGTAACTTTGTCACTAGTCACTTTACCTGTTATCAGTACTACTACAGTACTACATATCTGATATTTACTGTTATCAGTACTACTGTATTATTTCATATCTGATAATTCTGCCTTCCACCGTCACTTTACCTGTTGATATCTTACTGTATTATTACATATCCATCTGATAATTCTCCCATTCAAGTCACTTTACTTGTTGATATTATTTCTGATGTTTATTCTGCTCATATTCTCATATTCTCCGCTGCTAATGTATAATATAGACATCTGTAAATACTCCGAACCAAGTGCAATTGTAGCCCAGATTTTCTTATTTTATTTTATTTTATCTTAAATTTATTGTCTATTATCTTAAATAATAGACTTTGATGTGTGCAATCTGAGTGCTCTTATTTCCTTTCTCTGCTGTAATGTGCAACGATGACACTGACATTTCTCCACTGTGAGACTAATAAAGGTTTATCTTATCTTATCTTATCTTATTTACCAAATTTACATATTTCACCACATGTTACATTCTGTCCTGTTTTGTTATGTCTTTGTGATGTTGTGTTTCTCTGTGATTGTCCAATTTTATCTGTCTCGATATCAACCTGCCTTGGGACTACGGATGAACGATTAGCTTACGTTGCTAACTCTGGCCCATTCACATGTTGATTACACCGTCCCAATTCAAAGACACTCAACGATGCCTTACAAAACATATAAAATAAACATAGAAGTGTAGAAAATAAGGAAAAGCTGAAGCAGGTGGGTTTTGAGGATTGATTTAAAGTTCTGTAGTGAGTGGGGGTTTGTGGTAGGTTGAGGGAGTGAGTTACAGAGAGAGGGGGCAGCAAAATGGACGAGTTTATCGTATTGGCGTAGATTCAATTGGTTTTGGTGTTTAGTCCTAAATCTCAACAACAGTTGATTTGGAGGACTCTGCAAACTTGTGGAAGACAAAAAATGCCATAATAACAAACACATTCAGCCTTTGGAAACAGTAGACGGGGCTGGAGTGCTTCTTGGATGTAAAAATTAAAGTTACAAAAATCTTTAAAAGCCTTTATTTGACATGGCAAAAAGAGGTTAAAATTACGCCTTCGCGGTTCAGCCTTCTGGCCTTCTTCAGCCTTTGGTTCTTAGCGGCGGATGACCAATGTCCATAAACGTTGTTAAATGTCCTGGATCAGCACCACTGTCCTTAGACCCTCCTGCATCAGCAATTTAGGGATATTCACAAATACCTTGAATTGAATTGAGTTAATCCACAATATTTTGAAAAATTGACAAAGACATTATTATTTTTTTCACTTTTCTTTAACAAAATACAACCATTTCCGCACTATACTCTCTTTGGGGCCAGGTCTGCAAATGAGCTCTTAGTTAAATAGGCTAAGAATATGGGTTGAGCGCTTTCTATGTCTATGTTCTATGTTTTTAAAGGAGTGGACAAAACCATTTAGTCTTATATCAAGAACTGTTGCTTCATTGTCTTCCATTTCTTATATTTTTAGAAAACAAGATAATTTTGCTTCGTCTCATTGGCACATCTTACAAGGCAGTCAGAATGTGCTCAATCTAAGATACATTTTTAACTTATTTTTCAGCATAAGTGTAAAGGCATTTCGCCAACCCTTTGACAAACCTCACACCTTGGTTCTCGCAGAGGTTCCGCCGTAACTCCTCCTCTGCACTGATTGGTCGCGTGGAGGTCGTATCAGCTAGCCTGCCGCGCTGCTGACGGATCACATTTATTTTTAATCTGGGTGATGAGAGCCTGCCACACACCGCAGGATCATGTGACTTGTTAGGGCTGAGTGGCGAGGCCTGTACGTCCGCGGCTACATCCCGTTCCTCCGCCAAAAAAACACAAACTAATGACCTTGGGGCGCCTTTGATAGCGGCAGGGCTGGCTGAACGCGGTGCCATTATTATTCCAAGCGGAGGATGTTGTTCCATTCCGTGTCAAATCTTCCTCCACTTTTTGCCTTATTAACTTTCGACCCTGTTCGTTTGCACCATGTGTCTTCAAGGGCGAGACATTGATTGTGTTTATCTTATGTATTGTTCAGCAGTCGTGCAGGTCGCCTGGACGCTAACGGACAAATGGTCGCCTTGAAACGTTACATTTCTATACTCTGGATTGTGGATAAAGTGGATACATTTGTTTTGCAGTACAAAGGGATACATTAAAAACACAGAAGAAAAACATTGTACATTCAGAAACAGTCTAACAAGGTGCCTAGGTGCAAACTTCACAGTCAAACAGAGTCAATGCCGGGTAACATGGAACAGGACAAGGAAAACAAGTTTTTTTCTCGATGCAAAAGGTACGAGGCCCAAGCCACAGTAGAATGCAATTTAAAACATGTTTAAAATCATTGCAGCAGTTATCTTGTAGGACTTTTCAAAGTTGTCGATTCGCCAACAACAGGTCAGAGCATCAAACGGCACAATAACAACAAACACTCCACGACCAATGCCCATGAAGAATTCTAAATGCCGATAAATGTCCTGCTTCATCTTCATCACGACTATCCTTAGACCCTAGTCTGCAAGAAAGCACTCAAAAACCCAGTGGGAAAAAAGTGAGTAGCCTCAGACGGAAGAGCTGTAGATCCAAGACTGAGGCTGTAGATCCAAGACTGAGGCTGTAGATCCAAGACTGAGGCTGTAGATCCAGGACTGAGGCTGATCCAAAACTGAGGCTGTAGATCCCGGACTGAGGCTGTAGACCCAGGACTGAGGCTGTAGATCCAGGACTGAGGCTGTAGATCCAGGACTGAGGCTGTATGGCCAGGACTGAGGCTGTAGATCCAAGACTGAGGCTGTAGATCCAAGACTGAGGCTGTAGATCCAGGACTGAGGCTGTAGATCCAGGACTGAGGCTGTATGGCCAGGACTGAGGCTGTAGATCCAGGACTGAGGCTGTAGATCCAAGACTGAGGCTGTAGATCCAGGACTGAGGCTGTAGATCCAAGACTGAGGCTGTAGATCCAAGACTGAGGCTGTAGATCCAGGACTGAGGCTTTAGATCCAAGACTGAGGCTGTAGATCCAGGACTGAGGCTGTAGATCCAGGATGTCAGTGCCTTGCTCCCATCTTTTTTAATAAAATAGATGTGTCTGACCTTTTGCCTGTACAATTGGCTAAAAGCTCCGAAGATCATTTTTGTATATTTTTGACGACCAGTTTAGACCCAATAGTTAGACTTCCGAGGTGCAGATACAAACTCTATCTGTATATATCTTTCTACTCTCCTGTGTGCACGCTGCAACCACTCGATCTTCTCTTGTTTCAAATAATTACTCTCAATCATCAGCTATTTGAAACCACACACATTTTAACCATATTTCATTTCTCTTTTCTGACCACTTTAATGGTATTGAATAATGTCGTCACGGTTGCATCCAGGGGCACTCGCTTTCATCTAACGCCCAACATTTCGCCGACAGCTCTTCTGACTTTTCCTTCTCTCTCCTCTTTTGTGTTTTGTCCTTTTTCCTGATAGGTGCCAATTATACCGCCTGTTCGCCTGAGCGTCCCCTAGCCACGCGTGACCCTGTTAGCCGGCTTTAATGTCAACTCCCCAGGCTGAAGCTCCAGAGAGGAAGAGCAGGAGGAGGAGGGAGTTACCTCTCGTTTAGTCTGCCATCAGGAACGAAAAGAGACCAAAAAAACAGAAAATGTGCAACTTTGGACTCTATTCCGACTGACAAACTCCATCCAACGTTGGCGTCGCGGACTGTGTGGATAAACCCCTGAGCCTTTGACATTTCCAACTTGTTTTTTTCCTCTGGACGTGTTGTTTGGAAGCCAGCCCAGATGTCGCGGAGCTCTGGCGTGGGGGTGTGCAGGGGTCTGGCTCTCCTGGCGATGCTTTGCGCCTGGGGGGAGAACGCTCGCGGAGGTAGCCTGGATCTGGATGCGAGCTCGGGGCAAGAGCGGGAGGCCAGTCGGTCCCCGCGGTCGGAGGAGGCCCCAGCCCCGTGGGACGTCCTGCACAGGAACAGGCGCAGCTGGGTATGGAACCAGTTCTTCGTGTTGGAGGAGTACACGGGGAACGAGCCGCTCTACGTCGGCAAGGTGAGACATATGTTTTATATGATGTTATGTTTGGATCTGGCAACGCTGGGGTTTTGCTCTGATGCACAATTTTCTCTTACCTACTTATATTTGTCTCTCTATCCATCTGTCTCTTTGTCTATATCTGTCTATATCTGTCTGTTTATGACATTGAGGTAGAAATGATCAAAAAATAAGTTAATTGTTTGTGTAAAAAGGACAATGAGTTTCTAAAGTGACTCAAGTTCATCCAGTATATTATGAATACGTTGCATGTTGTGTATTTGACATACACACAAGTTTCTGAGATAATTTTATGATTTTAACCTTTTAAAGCAAGAGTTTAGACATAGGTGCATAATTTAGAATCCTACCGTTGATATTTTAGGGTTGACATTTGTCTTTCTCTGAATGTCTGCACTGAATTATGATATTTGTGTGGAAACTTCTTGACTATTGTGTTGAAAAGTACTGGATTGTGATCGGATTGAAAGAGATTATTTATTGTAGTTTACAGTTAATGCATTTATTGAAATTGTCTGAAATATAAAAAAATATACACATTAGATCATTCAAGAGACATAATAAATGGTAAAGAACTGTGTATTCAATAATTGCATCTTTCTTGCAATTGACCGACTTACGACAAATATTAACACATAAATTCCACTGCTCTGCATAATGTCTGCTTTTGGGTTTTTTATACGGTATCTATATCTCGGCATCAATATCCCCATGTCATTTCAGTTATTATTTGTTTGTCCATGTGTTCAAAATTATTCCATACAGTTTCTAGATTGCTGTTTTTTGTCATGCACTGGGCAAAATATTGAATATAATTTTGACTAGAATGACTTACTAAAATATGGGTTTGAAAAAAAAATGCTTGAAAAACTCCTCAACTGGTCATGTCTGCTTTTGGATTTTTTATACTTAGGGACGGTTCAATTAGAATCAATCCCTAATCGTATCCATACCGTTAACACAATGCCAACTTAAACTATCAACCGTAGCTGGTATATACATGTACAGAAAATAGGCATCTCTTTCCCAGCATCTCGGCATCTATATCTGGCATCTATATCTGGGCATCTATATCTGGGCATCTATATCTGGCGCATATATTCCGGCATCTATATTCCGGCATCTATATCCCGGCATCTATATTCCGGCATCTATATTCCGGCATCTATATCCTGGCATCTATATCTGGCATCTACTGTATATCTGGCATCTGTATTTCGGCATCTATACCTGGTATCTATATCCGGCATCTATATATCGGCATCTATACCTGGCATCTGTATCTCGGCATCTATATCTGGCATTCATGTCTTTTCACTAGTTTGTCAAGACTTCAAATTATGCCGTAGAGTTTGCAAATTGCAGTTTTTCTCATCCTATAAAAACATTTAACCCAAACAAGTTAGTATTAAAGTCACGCAACACAAACGTGACAAATTTGATCCGGGGTCACAGCAATATTAGCAAAAGGACATTGTCATTCTCTGCACAAGACGCCAGAGCGGGGTCTCCTAATGCCTTTGTCTCTTCAATGTCATTTTTCTCCCCTGATCTTTGATGTTGATAATTACATTCTCTTGCTTCATTCCCATTGATTTTAGTATGTGCTTGGACGACGTGGAAATGGGGTCCGCGCCCAAAGCTCCATAAATTACAGTAGTAAGGTGTGGAGCGGCGTGATGGACTGTCATCACCTGTCTCATGACGCTAATCATTTGACATTTAACATGCCACCGGGTAACCTTGGCGTGCCGCGAGGAAAAAATATACATATTTACGATGCTGTAAAGTTAAGGCGGAGTTGAATTCATTATAAAGACAAGACAAGAATGTATATGTATATAATAAAAATCAGAGTCACACATAGCTTTTGCAATTACTTTGGCGTTTTTCTCTCACTCCACACATGCCATTTGTATACGGTTTTAGTGGTAGGGGAAACCCGGAGCACTAGGAGGAAACCTAACTTACCTCGCTGCTACTTTATATATCGCTGCTAACCATAACTCGGTATTGCACCTTATTGGACTGTATTTTTATATGTATTTTAGTAGGGGTGAGAACCTAAGGGTACCTGTTACGAGTCGGACAAAGAACCCAAGTGCAGAGGTAACAAAAAGTTTAATTAACAAAAATAGGTAGACTCAAAACACAGGAGAGCCGGGAATGGGGCTGGGACCAGGCGGGGCAGGGCTGGGTGCAGAGCTGGGGTCAGGCGGTGCTGGGCTGGGGTCAGGCGGTGCGGAACGGAGGTCTGAGGCAGAGCAAAACAAAGGTGAGACAAAAGTAACGAGAGCGATAAACAAGCAGGCCTACTAACGCACAGTAACACTGATTACGAACTGGCACCGATGAGCTGGCTTCTGGAGCTCTTGTAGTAGCTTGATTGGAGCCAGGAGGCAGCTGGGCCTGATCAGCCTCTCCCATCCACCTGCTCTGGGAGGCGGCTCCAGGAGAAGCAGGGGAGGGAGGGGCTGCTGGAGGAGCAGCCCTGACAGTACCCCCTCCCCCTACTGACGCCCCCAGGCGGACACACACGCCTCCCCGGTCGACGAGCGTAGAAGTCCCGTATGAGGGACGGGTCCAGGATGTTGCCACGGGAGACCCAGCATCGCTCCTCGGGGCCGTAACCTTCCCAGTCCACCAGGAACTGGCAGCCACGACCACGCTGTCGAACATCCACGATCCGCCGAACGGTAAAGGCAGGATGGCCGTCCACCAACCGAGGCGGGGGTGGGGCTGGACGGGGGGGAACCAATGGACTAGACTGGACAGGCTTAACACGGGACACATGAAACGTGGGGTGAATCTTCAAGGAAGAGGGAAGCTTGAGACGTACCGCGGAGGGGTTGACGACCTGTTCCACCTCAAAGGGCCCGATAAAGCGGGGCGACAGCTTCGCAGATTCCACCTTGAGGGGAATGTCTCTCGTGGACAGCCACACCTTCTGTCCAGGCAAATAGGCAGGAGCCGGGATGCGGCGGCGATTAGCCTGTACTTGCGTCCGAGCAGAGGCGCGCAGCAAGGCAGAGCGGGCCTTCTTCCAAGTCTTTTGACATCTGCGAAGGTTATCCTGGACCGAGGGCACTGCCAACTCAGCCTCTTGGTCAGGAAACAGGGGCGGTTGATAGCCATAACAACATTCAAAAGGGGACATACCTAAAGAAGCGCTCGGGAGTGTGTTATGGGCATATTCCACCCAGGGAAGGTGAGAACTCCAGCTGGACGGATTAGAGGAGGACACACAACGTAGAGCCACCTCCATCTGCTGGTTAGCCCGCTCCGTCTGGCCATTAGTCTGGGGGTGATAGCCAGAGGAAAGGCTCACGTTAATATTCAGGGCAGAACAGAAGGCCTTCCAAACCTGAGCCGTGAACTGGGGGCCTCTGTCAGACACGATGTCGGCAGGAATGCCATGCAGCCGGAAGACGTGGTTCACCAACAGGTCTGCAGTCTCCTTAGCAGAAGGAAGTTTAGGAAGGGGTACAAAGTGAGCAGCCTTTGAGAACCGGTCCACAACTGTCAGCACCACGGAATTACCATTAGAAGGCGGGAGGCCGGTAACAAAATCCAGCGCTATGTGAGACCAAGGGCGATTGGGGATGGGTAGAGGACGCAGCAACCCAGATGGGGGCTGGTTAGAACATTTATTCTGGGAGCACACGTTGCATGCAGCAATGAAGTCCTTAGTATCCCTCTCCATAGTAGGCCACCAGAACTTGCGCCTGAGCACAGCGAGGGTACGACTAACCCCAGGGTGGCATGTAAGGTGGGTGCAGTGTGCCCATTGAATAACTTCTGAACGAACGGGGTCAGGAACAAACAAGGAACTCGGGGGTCCCGTCCCCGGATCCGGGTGGGTCAGTTGCGCATGACGCACTCGTGACTCTATCTCCCATGTAACGGTAGCCACTATACGGGACAAAGGCAGAATAGTGTCATTCTCAGGAGCAGGATGTGCACCGCAATAAACTCTGGACAAGGCATCTGGTTTCAAGTTCTTGGAGCCAGGGCGATAAGTGACAGAGAAGTTGAAACGGTCGAAAAAAAGGGCCCACCTGGCTTGCCTTGAGTTGAGACGCTTGGCTGTCTGGATATACGTGAGGTTCTTGTGATCCGACCAGACCACAAAGGGGTGAGTAGCCCCCTCCAGCCAGTGACGCCACTCCTCTAGGGCCAGCTTGATTGCCAGGAGCTCTCTGTTACCGATGTCGTAGTTTCTCTCTGCAGAAGACAGTTTACGAGAGAAAAAAGCACATGGATGCAATTTCTGATCAGTGGGTGACCTTTGCGAGAGTATAGCCCCCACTCCTGTGTCAGAGGCGTCCACCTCTACTACAAACTGGAGTTCAGGATTGGGCTGAATAAGCACAGGGGCAGAGGTGAACCGGTCCCTAAGTCGCTTAAAAGCCAAGTCAGCCTCAGGAGTCCATGCGAAATTGGAAGAAGTGGAGGTAAGTGCAGTCAGGGGGGCCGCAATGTGGCTGAAATTGCGGATGAATCTCCTATAGAAATTAGCAAACCCCAAAAAACGCTGTACCTCCCTGCGACTGGTGGGGATAGGCCAATCACGGACAGCAGACAGCTTTTCAGGATCCATCTGCACCTGGCCCCGGGCAATAATGTATCCTAAGAATGAGACAGAAGGTTCATGAAACTGACATTTCTCTGCCTTAACAAATAACTTGTTCTCCAGGAGTCTTTGGAGGACACTGCGGACATGGCGCCTGTGAGTCTCGATATCTCTAGAAAAAATCAAGATGTCGTCAATGTAAACAAAAACATATCTCCCAATCATGTCACGTAGGACGTCATTTACCAGGTTTTGAAACACGGATGGGGCGTTAGTGAGACCAAACGGCATGACCAGGTATTCAAAATGGCCCAGGGGAGTATTAAAGGCAGTCTTCCACTCATCCCCCTCCCTGATGCGCACCAGGTGATAGGCATTGCGCAAGTCCAATTTAGTGAAAATAGTAGATCCACAGAGAGGGGTGAAGGCTGAACTAATCAAAGGGAGTGGGTACTTGTTCTTAACAGTGATTTTATTGAGGCCCCGGTAATCAATGCAGGGCCTAAGAGACTTATCCTCTTTCTCAACAAAAAAAAATCCAGCACCCACCGGAGAGGACGAGGGCCTGATTATTCCCACTGCCAGGGATTCCTGAATGTACCTCTCCATAGACTCGTTCTCCGGGCGCGAGAGGTTGTACAGGCGGCTGCTCGGTAGAGGCGCCCCAGGAAGCAGGTCTATGGCGCAATCATAAGGCCGGTGAGGGGGGAGAGAAAGAGCCCGATCCTTGCTAAATACAGCACCAAGGTCGTGATACTCAGAGGGCACTACCGACAGATCCGGAGGGTCTGGGGGCG